AACCACTGTGCCACCAGGGAAGCCCAAGGAACCAGCTTTTAACTTTACCTACTGTTTGCCTGTTTTCTTTAAAAAAATTTTTTTCTATTTTTGATTTATTATTTTCTTCTATTTACTTTGGCTTTAGCATACTCTTCTTTTTCTTTCTTCTCAAGTTATAATACTTGTTATGAGCCTTTTTTCTTTTCAATACAGGCATTTTAAAGCTGTAAATTTCCTTCTAGGCAGTGCTCGACTGGGCTGTTCAGTCCATTTACATTTAGTGCAGTTACTGGTATGGTTGGTTTCCCACTGTTCTGGGGGTTTTTAAGTGTCCAATTCATTGGTGTTTAGTATATTCACAAGGTTGTGTAGTCATCACCAGTGTTGAATTCCAGAACATTTTATCACCCCCAAAGACCCCTCACACCCATCAGCTGTCACTCCTTGCTTCCTCCAGTCACCAGTCCCACTAACTAATGTGCTTCCTGTCTGTTTTTACTATTCTAGGTACCTCTTATAGGTGGAATGCATACATATAGGTATCCAGCTACTTTCACTTCGCATGTTTTCAGAATTCATCCGTGTTGTAGCGTGAATCACATACTCATTCATTTTATGGCCCCAAAATACTCCGTTGTATAGATACATGTTTTATTTATCTGTTAGTTCATGGACGTTGGTGCTGTTTCAGCTTTTTGGCTGTTACGAATTATGCTGCTGTGTATGAACATTTGTCTACTCGTTTTTGTTTGGAGGTATGTTTTCATTTCTCTTGGGTATATACCTAAGAGTGGAATGGTTGGGTCATATGGTAATTCTGTGTTTAAGTTTTGAGCAGCTTGCCAAACTTTTGCAAAGTTGCTGCACCATTTTACATTCCAACTAGCAGTATATGATGGTTCCCACTCTACGTCCTTGTTAACAAGTGGTCAGCACTTGTTCTTATCTGTCTTTATAATTTTAGCCATCCTGGTGGGTGTGACCTGGTACCCTATTGGGGTTTGATTTGCATTTCCCAAATGACGAATGAGCGTCTTTTCATGCGTTTCCTTCTTTTTTCCTCTCTTTGTCCTTCAGTGCTTTCTTTTGGGTTATTTAAAGATTAATACATGTTGATTTCCAGGTGACTTTTTTTAAAAAATAAATTTATTTATTTTTGGCTGTGTTGGGTCTTCATTGCTGCACGCAGGCTTTCTCTAGTTGCGGCGAGCAGGCTTCTCATTGCAGTGGCTTCTCTTGTTGCGGAGCACAGGCTCTAGGCATGTGGGCTTCAGTAGTTGCAGCACGTGGGCTCAGCAGTTGTGGCATGCAAGCCCTAGAGCATGCAGGCTCAGTAGTTGTGGTACACGGGCTTAGTTGCTCTGCGGCATGTGGGATCTTCTTCCCGGACTAGGGATTGAACCCCTGTCCCCTGAATTGGCAGGCAGATTCTTAACCACTGTGCCACCAGGGAAATCCCCCAGATGACTTTTAATACTTTTCTTTGTTACTTAACATAAACATTCATATACACAAATAAAATCTATATTATATACATATTTCCCAGTTAAAAAGATATGTTTTGTATCTTAATCATATTTTCCTTTAATTTGAAATTGTCATGATTTTTTACTTATCCTGGCTCTCACATTGATTTCAGGATATATTTCAGGATATGGCAGGCAGTATATAGTCCTATAGAAGAGACATTATTTTAGTTGTTTTGGGCTGAATCTTTTTATGATCTTTAAGAATAAGCACTTCATCACATTTTCTTATGGAGCTTTTTATTTGTTGCTTCACTTGGAACCAAAATCTTTATCTCAATCCAGTATTTGTGTGTTTATGTGTGGTTTTTTTTTTTTTTTTTAAAGCTTTTTGCCCGCACTGTGTGGCATGCAGGATCTTAGTGCCCCGACCAGGGATTGAACCCTCCCCCACTGCACTGGAAGTGCGGAGTCTTAACCACTGGACCTCCAGGGAAGTCCCCCAGTACTTGTGTTAAACGTGGCCTAACTGTGAACATGGGTGTTTCATTAGCTGCACCAGTAGCCATAGCAAACGGGAAGATAAAATTTTTCCATTTAGTCTCCACATGGCACCCGTGGTGCCAGGTCTTCCTTGCTCCCTGTGTGTGGGCTGCACATACACTTTCACGTCTCAGAACTGACACAGAGCCTGCCTTCTCCCTTGTGATCTTCTCAGGCAGCTTGTTTCCTCCGTGGTGCAGGGTCCTGCCAGCTCCGCTCGGGCCGCGCTGTCCCTGGGAATGTGGGTCTCACAGTGCAAGCCTGTTCTGTCTGAAGGAAAATAAGCAGTTCTCTGCTGGGGTCCTAAGAGATGCTCACTCTGCGACTGTGGAAAGATAGTTCTGTCTTTTTTTCTCTCTCTTGTGCAAACTATTTTAAGAAATAAAGGGATAATTAGCATTTGGAACTTTTCTCAGACAAGGAGCTCTGACCTGGTTGTGCTCAGAACCTCCAGTTGGTTCCATCTTTTTGTTCCTACATCCTGTTGAAAGGATTAGTGACAACTCAGGAAGAAGTGCCCTGAGCTGAGCTGAGAGATTTACAACGTAGGATCAGTTTGTAGCAGCTGTTGCCACGCACTCTTCCTCTGAGCAGCACACAGGATCACGGCGCTCATTTTTCTGAGGGCGGGAGTGCATGGTCTTACCAGATTCTGAAAGAGTTTTGTGTCCTAGAGAAGATGAAGAACCGCGAAGTACAAAGTATTAACCCTAATTGTTGGCTTACTGAGCCTTTTCGTTTCAAATACCCTTGACCACGCTGCCTTCAAAAAATTTTTCCCTCGAATATCTGACCCTTAAAAGAAAGATCCAGATTTTTATGAGGCTTATCTGTATACAAGGCAAAGGAGTGATCTTGAATTGTAAGTCCGTTAGTATCTCTTGGTAAGGTGGTATGGAGATGACTTAAACTTTTAGCAGAAGTGATGTAATTGGAACTGAGTAGGTTAATAGGGCTGTTGGAAAGGAATCTCAGACATGCAGCTATTGGGACTCGGAGGGGCTTTCAGGCAGATCGCGGCTGTCTGTGCTTCCTCGCCTCCTGCCGCGTCCTCGTGGAATGAGCTCATGTCATGATCTCATGTCATGGAGTCCACGTTTCATTTTACTGCAGGAAGAACACACCTTGTTGTTTAGGGTACTTGGTGTGCAGTAGAAATCCTAGAAAGCATGTGGCGGATAAAGGGGTTTATTACCAAAGGCAGGTTGTCTTCTTCACATTCTGTGAAACGAAAAAGCACCCCGTTTTATGTTCATATTCTGCTTTGCCACACGACCTGCTTTTCACCGCCAGCTAGAGCTGCTCTTTGTCGGCTCCTCCACCTGAAGGGGTAGCACTGGCTTTGCGGGCGGAGGCCAGGCTGGTCCCAAGGCTCCAGCAGGTGCCTGCAAGCAGGGCTCAGGTCATGGTGCTGAGAGCCCTGTGTTTCCAGGTGTAATGCTGCATTTTGATAAGGTAACCACATTCACAGTGTCCGCATTTGAGGTCTCAACAGGAAGGAAATAAAGTTTCTTCTCTCTTTGAAAAAGCAAAATGTTTAATTTCTTATTTGCCTAAGGCCCTTTGTTTTTTCTCTATGAGTATTTCTCCTGACTTTTTCTGCAAATATAACTACATAGATTATCAGTTAACATGATACATGCCTCTTGTAAAGATTATATTGACACATAATTCCTTTAGAGCTCTTTGTTTAGTGAGAAAAATTTTTTTTTTTTTTTTGCTGTACGCGGGCCTCTCACCGCTGTGTCCTCTCCCGCTGCGGAGCACAGGCTCCGGACGCGCAGGCTCAGCGGCCGTGGCTCACTGGCCCAGCCACTCTGCGGCATGTGGGATCTTCCCAGACCGGGGCACGAACCCGTGTCGCCTGCATCGGCAGGCGAACTCTCAACCACTGCGCCACCAGGGAAGCCTGAGAAAAATATTTTTAAATCAAGCATTAGGTGAAATTATATCCAGATTCTTTAATAGTTGAGATATGAAATAACTAACAATTAAACAGCACTTGTTATATACAAGGCACATTTAGGTACTAATCAAAAATTTAAGTTGTCTTAAATGTTTTCTATAGAAAAAACCCTCAAATTTAGTGTTTCGTAACACACCCACAAGTTTACGTGTAACAGCACATGAAAGTATAGTTACACGTTGGAGTAGCCTCTTTTAAAATTAATTAATTAATTAATTAATCTATCTGGCCACGCAGCGCGGCTTGTGGGGATTGATCCTGGGCCCTTGGCAGTGAAAGTATGGAGTCCTAACCACTGGACTGCCAGGGAATTCCCTGGAGTAGCCTCCTGTGTTCTGGAGAAGGTTTTTTCAAACCTTTGCATCTTAACCTGAACTATAAATGGATTAGGCCAGGCAGACATTGCCATTCTTTGCTGTTTGCCATCTAGGTTGTGGACCTAATCTTTTTTAAAAATTAATTAATTTATTTTTGGCTGCGTTGGGTCTTTGTTGCTGTGCACAGGCTTTCTCTAGTTGTGGCGAGCAGGGTCTACTCTTTGTTGCGGTGCACGGGCTTCTCATTGCGGTGGCTTCTCTTGTTGCGAAGCATGGGCTCTAGGCGTGCAGGCTTCAGTAGTTGTGGCTCACGGGCTCTAGAGCGCAGGCTCAGTAGTTGTGGCGCACAGGCTTGGTTGCTCTGCGGCATGCGGGATCTTCCGGGACCAGGGCTCAAACCCGTGGCCCCTGTATTGGCAGGCGATTTCTTAGCCACTGTGCCACCAGGGAAGGTCCCGCAACCTTCTTAAATATTGATGATCTTTGGGACTTGACGGTGTCAGGTCCCAGGAGATGGTGTAATAACATAGTGCTTCCTCAAGGGATCCCTGGGCCCTTCCTGGCACTTTCCACTACTGCTGCTGTTGAAGATTTGTCAGCTGTCCAGCCACCCACCACCTCCAGCACCGCCTCCCCCCCTCCCCCCCTCCCCGCCCCGCCCTGCCCTCTACACCACCCTCTCTATGTGGTACTCATGTGTCTTTGTGTCTGGGGCCGCCTGGTTAGGCCTCAGACCTTCCACAGCTACCTGGAGGACATCATCAGCTACCGCTGGGAGCTGGAAGAAGGGAAGCCTAACCCCCTGAGGGAAGCCAGCTTCCAGGACCTGCCCCTTCGCACCCGTGTGGAAATCCTCCACCGCCTCTGTGACTACCGGCTGGACGCAGACGATGTCTTCGATCTCCTCAAGGTGCGTAGCTGACAGGCACCCTGTCCCTGGAGCAGAACTTAGAGCAGCCAGCGTTGGGATGCTGTGCTGGTCTTGGGAATCTTGTGGATGCAGCTGTTACCACTGTTGCCAGGGGGATCCAAGCCACACGCTCAGATGACTGCATGTTATTTTATTTTGGTTTAACTTCTACTTTGGTTTGTTCTTCGTTCTGTTTACTGAGTTCCCGCTGACATGGGAACAATCGTAGGTTCCTGTTTGCTCTGTCATCAGTCAGAATTGCAGTTACATTAGTCACTGAGTTTTATTTCCTGAGATCTGAAATTTGACTTAGAATAATTGAAATATTTATGAAACCTCCCAAGGACTTTAACCCATCCTCACCGCACACCGTGTGCACATTGTAGATGTGTGCTGGGCGGGGCTGTGGACGCCTCCCCCCTCCCTCTTATCCTGTCTCAGAGGGAGGGCACGGGCGGTCTTCTGCTTTGCCCTCACCGGGAGGTCGGTCAGAAACAATGAACTGCGTCGACGGTGCTCGTGGGCTCAGGTGGGCACCATGGTGAAAACCGCAGTGCAGCCCAGCACAGTCTTCGCTGAGGTCTCGGCCTCCACCCCCCGAGGGTTGGCAGCGCAGGTCAGGCTGGGGGAGTGGGGAGCCCCGGGCCGGACTGGCCGGCGGCGACAGAGCGTCGTGGGGGACGAGGCTGCCACAGCAGCAGACTCTCCTGTTGGAATTGTCTTTCCTCTTGTTGGTACACACAGAATACACGTCTAAACCAAGTATGTCACATGTTCACCAAAATCCCTTCAGGTTGCTCTTTTTCTGGTGAGGTGGGGCAGTGGTGGCAGTGGGCTTCGTGTGAAGTACTTCCGTATCCTGCTCTTAAGGCAGGCACCTTCTCCCCGTCCCGTGTGTCGGGTACCCTGACTGAGAATTCCCTAGGATGCTTGAGCATTTTGGTGTGAGGGATGTGTGAGGATAAATGCAGAACCCTCCTTCCAGTTGGCTCTTTAGTTTTGTTCGTTGTGAGCCCAAACCTCTTTCCTTGTCCTGCCCAGGGCCTGGATGCAGACAGTCTCCGTGTGGAACCGCTGGGTGAGGACAACTCCGGGGCCCTCTACTGGTATTTCTATGGGACGCGGATGTACAAGGAGGACCCAGTGCAAGGAAAATCCAACGGAGAGCTCTCTCTGAGCAGGTACCTTCCTAAAGGTCAGGGCTGCCATAGCCACTGTTAGAAGAGCGTCGTTAAAATCACATACATTGGAATTCCGCAGCACAAGTTATTTTTTCTCATGAAGGAATTAGCTGTAGCAGCATGTCTACGAAGAGATGGCAAAGAGTTATTTCACACAAAAGTGAAAAGGAATTAATCTCTAGCCCAGCTCTCAGCGGCCCCACCCCAGAGGCCGTTCTGCCCGCCAGGTTCTCAGCAGCACAAGTGCTCCCCGGGGCCTTTCCCTCCAGCAGAGTGGGTTCTGGAGAATCCCTTCTCCTACTAGAGCTGATGTCCTCAGTGAGGAAGAGGGCTTGTCTCCAGCATCCCAGAGCGATGCTGCATCTTCCCCAGACGTCCCGGTTGCTGGGCCCTTTGCTGTTAGCGAAGCCTGAGGCCTCACTCAAATGTTCATGTGGGAGATGTTGTTTTCCTTGGTTCCACGTTTTAACAATGGAAAATGGGAGGTCACCCTGCTCTTTCCCTGTAACTGCTGCCTTTGTTGCTTTTTATAACCTCGTGGCCAGAAAAGCTAACCACTAGCTTAAAGCCAGTTTTTTGTTTTGTTTTGTTTTTTGTTTTGTTTTGCGGTACGCGGGCCTCTCAGTGTTGTGGCCTCTGCCGCCGCGGAGCACAGGCTCTGGAAGCGCAGGCTCAGCGGCCATGGCTCACGGGCCCAGCCGCTCCGCGGCACGTGGGATCTTCCCGGACCGGGGCACGAACCCATGTCCCCTGCATCGGCAGGCGGACTCTCAACCACTGCGCCACCAGGGAAGCCCCATAGTCACTAGCTTATAAATCATGTGTAACGCATCAGTCCTATGACAGAACATTTCTATTTAATGTACTATTTCTTAGGGAAACTGAAGGACAAAAAAATGTCTCAAGTGTTCCTGGGAAAACAGGGAAAAGAAGAGGAAGACCCCCAAAACGGAAAAAACTGCAGGAGGAAACTCTAGTGAGGTGAGTAAATCTTGTTAGTCTGTGTAGGTCCCTAACGCGAACCCTTACGCTGGAGGGACTCGCCTCCATCCTGCTTTCTGTGCCTCGGGGGGGACATGGGCCCTGCGTCACAGTCCTCAGGGGCCTCCTGCCTGGCCCCTCGCTTTCAGTGGACAGTGGGGACTCTGACAGTGAACGTGACAGTGGACGGCACCGAGAACTGAGCCCGCCTGCAGGAAGTGCCCTGAAAATCCCATCCCTACACCACACGTTTCTTCACAGGAGTGTGGAGAGAGTTAATACTGTATATGAGTTTAGGAGTTAATTCTTTCTTGGTAAGGAGATTTTAGTAGTAAACATGCTTTGTTCTATGTAGAATACAATTTCTTACAATAACGAAAAGGTAAGACTTTAAACATTTTTATAGTATTTATTTTATATTTAATTTTAGCAAAGAAAAAGATTCTCTTACGATTGGGAAATTGTATTATTACTATTTTTTGGCCGCACTGCGCGGCATGTGGGATCTTTGTTCCCCAGCCAGGGATCGAACTCGCATCCCGTGCAGTGGAAGTGCGGAGTCTTAACCAGTGGACCACCAGGGCAGTCCCAGGAAATTTTATTTTAATATATCATTGCCTTTTAGGAATTCCCACAATGTGAATCTCAACATAAGAGTTTTCAGGATCTGACCTGTTCTGTGTAGAAATACTTTTTCCTTTTACTTGAGGATCAGATCTGTCATTATTCACTTATGGAAGTTAGGTCATAGTCTTAAAAATTCTAGTAACACAGGAGAAGCTGCTGCTTCCTTCGGTGTTTTAGAACTACTTAAGTAACCTAAATGCCTGAAGTGAACCAGATTTCACTGTGCTGCTTATTAACTACTAAGAAATATTTTTAGGAATCAGATTATGAATAAATCAATCAGAATTTGATTTTTTTGCTACAACAGTCAGTGTTACACTTTCCAGAAATTTTGACTACAGATTGCAGCTTTCCTCCCACCAGTATTTGTGAGAAATGTTCTTATAATCATGTTTTATACACAAGACGTCTGTTTCTGGATTTTGTTAGCGATCTACACCTCGTGATACATTCAGAAATCTGTTCTGTACTCTCTCAGTTTCCCTGTGAGTCCCAACAATTAAAGTGCCTTAGTGGTGGGGCTGTAGTCACTTTAAGAAGCGTGTGTGTGCTTATGCTGCCCTCTGCTGGTGGTTCTATTCTTTAGACTCCTGTATCCAATACAGTATTTACGTATTTTTAAATTAAATAAAATTTTGTGAAATCTAAAAAGTGAAACTAGTGGATATAATAAAACAGAAACAGACTCATAGAAACAGGACAAACTAGTGGTGACCAGCGGGGAGAGGGATGGGGGAGGGGCAAGATAGGGGATTAAGAGGTACAAACTACTAGGTAAAATAAATAAACTATAGGGATATACTCTACAACACAGGGAATATGCCAATATTTTATAATAACTATAAATGGAGTATAACCTTTAAAAATTGTGAATCATTGTGTTGTACATCTAAAACTATACCTCCGTTTTTTAAAGAATGATGAAAAACAAATGTAGACAATAAGATATGTGTAGAAGGGGGAAAAAAAGTAAAGAGAAAGGGCAGCCCCTAAAACAAATTATTTTTTAAAAATAATAAATAAAATTTAAAGTTTGGTTCCTCAGTCACACCTGACACACTTCAGCTGAGCCAGGCACTCGTGGCCCGTGGCTGCCTCGTTGGACAGCGACAGTACAGGACGTTTTCCTTCTCCCGGGAGGCTGTTCGGGGCAGTGCTGGGTTAGGTGGTTGAAAAGAGACCAGAAAAGCCAGAGAATGTCGTTCATGATTCAGGGAGACTTAACACTGTTGGGCTGATGAGCACATTTGTATTTTATAATTTAATTCCAGCATCCCTGTGAGGTGGGCATTATTAATAGCCCCATTTTACAGGGAAGTTCAGCGACTTCTCTGAGGTCACAGGGTAGGTGGTGGCAAGCCTTGAATAGAGGTGGCCCGGCCTCAGGACCTGTGTTCTTCACCCAGCCTGCCGTGAGGGCCGATTCAGTATGCCTCGCCTGCAGTGCCACCCCCAGTGCAGTCTGGGAGGAAGCCCTTTTCTTGGCATTTACCTGTGGACACTGAACTTCTCCTTTCCTGTGTCCCCGTGTATCTGTCCTTCCTCTCTGTGCCAACACACACTCTTGGTAGTAAGTCATGGGTCTACCTTACAGGGGAGCACAACAATTTTGGACATGTCTTTGTTTTTTTTTTTTTCTTCTTTTCTTGCGGTACGCGGGCCTCTCACTGTCGTGGCCTGTCCCGTTGCAGAGCACAGGCTCTGGACACGGAGGCTCAGCGGCCATGGCTCACGGGCCCAGCCGCTCCGCGGCATGTGGGATCTTCCCGGACCGGGGCACGAACCCGTGTCCCCTGCATCGGCAGGCGGACTCTCAACCACTGCGCCACCAGCGAAGCCCCATGTCTTTGTTTTAATTGGTGCCTCTTTTTCCTGTGTTTCAGTGAAAAGCAGGAAGAAAACTCCTTAGCATCTGAGCCGCAGACAAGAAATGGTAATGGCTTTTGTCGGGGTCAGAAGGGATTGCATGAACATGATTGACTTGTGTCCTTTTCCAGAGTCTAGTGCAGAGCGTTACGACTATTAGAGTAGCCTCTGACTAGCCTCCTCACCCTTCACACGTCGTCTCCCTGTGCCCATCTCTCCCCCGATGGATAGCTTGAGAGCAGGACCAGGTCTTTTCACTTGGGCCCCCTTACCCAGGCCCAGCAGAATAGACACCCAACGTTGGAGTGAATGACCAGCTTCTCTGAGAGCTTTCTTTTAATGTATTAGATTGGCCAAAAAGTTTGTTCGGTTAGTGAATACGTTCAATAAAGTTCTTGGTGAAAATGAAAAATGTGTCTTATTTTTACTTAAAACTGAACGAACTTTTTGGCCAACCCAGTAAAATGCTTTACTACATAAGGAAGTGTACTGGGTTCCTACCTAGACTTCGGTTCTGGAATCCAAATTGTATAAATTTGGGGAGAAATAGCAATTTAGTGTATCTCAGTACAACAAGCGAGACTGCAAAAGCTCGACCGAAACCATTTTGTAGAAAAGCAAATACATTAAAGCATTTCTAGTATATTAGAGTCTATCATGAAGGTTACAGTAGTTACATTTGTATTGCCTTTACGTATTCTTATCTCTTAGTTGTAAACAGTGATAGTAACAGGAAAATCGGAAGTACACAGCATCAACCTTAAAAGGTAATGGGCCCCCCATTTTTCTGATTACCTGGCTTTGATCATAACCCAGGGTCCAACTGAAACTGAAGATAGAAAGAAACAGGTCTCATGGGATCTGTTTACTGAGCCACCCCTTTCTCTTCTAGGGTCCCAGGGGCCAGGCCAAGGCTCCTGGTGGCTCCTGTGCCAGACAGAAGACGAGTGGAGACAGGTCACCGAGAGTTTCCGGGAGAGGACCTCCCTGCGAGAGCGGCAGCTCTACAAGCTCCTCAGCGAGGACTTCCTGCCCGAGATCTGCAGCATGATTGCCCAGAAGGTGTGCAGACAGGGTCCCTGTCCTCCGTGTGTGGCGTCAAGCTGCTCTGGTAAAGGGTTACTTCATTAGAGGTTTGAGCACCCTCCACTCCACGCTCTCCTGCAGCTGGTCCAGCCTTCATCTTTCTTCATCTGGGACATTAAAATGGGACCTCGTGCCCCCACTCTCCTTCACTATGGGCCATGTGATTTAATCCTCATGCCTCTACCCCGTCCTCACCGCTCTTCACCCTTGGGAGCCAGCTCTCCTCCTCCCCAGCATCCCCTGGGAACCACCCCCTGAGCCCCAGGTGTGTCTCTGCAGATCACCCTGTGTGTACCTCTCCCTGTGCATAGACTGCTGCCTTTTTTTTTCTTTCCTTTTTAAAAAAGGTCATCTTCTGGTCTGTCTTCTTCTAACAGCAGGCTCTAAAGGTGCTTTTCTTTGTGGCTCTAGTGCTGGCTGCCCCCTCTGACTGCAGGGCACCGAACCCTGGCTTCGTCCTGCACCCCGCCTGCCCCCGCCTGTTCCAAGGCTCTCAGAAGCCCCACTTGAGGGCCTTGTGTCTGTGAGCTCTCCCCTGCCTCTCCCAAGCGAGGGTGTACCCCCCCGGTGTGCTTCCCGGCTTCATTTCATTGGGAGTTATCTAAGCAACTCTGGATCAGGAGCCATGTCTTCCCCATCATTGTAACCCCACAGGTGACCTCCTGGAACACCCGTTCTGTGGTGGATGCCTGGCAACCACCCAGTTTCCATAAATCTGATGCTTCTGATTCTTAATACTTTTTAATAGAAGACAGAAAAATGTGAGCACTGCCCCTGACATTTGAGGAGAAAGTGTTTTTAAACTCGGTCACGTGACAGATACATCACTTGATTTGTCGTGACTCCAGTGATATTTGTAACCATTGAGCAGGTTGGTGCTTTGGGGTGAACCGTAGAAAGTCACGGAATTGCATTTTCATGGGTGAGCATCTCCCCATCGACGTCCTTAATCCCGTTGACTATAATTACACTTGGATCTTGTCCTCCACAGTGCACTGTGACCATTTTTCCAGGACTTGAAATACGTAATCTAGTTTTCTTAAAGTAGCTATTAAATAGAGCTGGTTTTATAACTTTACGTAACCTTGTATATGACTTTATTGATATGATTAATGACAGCACCTTAAATCATCTGTAAGGCATTTACCTAATCTGCTTAAACTTTCTTTTATAATTCTGTCTTTTTAACTGCAATATTCAACCTCAGACTTTTGAATAGTGTAACTAAGGGAAAAAACTTTTACAGGCATAAAATGGATGGTTTTGATACAGAAAATTTCAGGAGTTGATTCTTTGCAAGAGAATAAAAAATTAAAATAAGGTAAACCTTAAATACAAATTTCAAGAACCATGAAATTAGAAGCTGAAAAAAGAAATAATAGATTTGATATTTTGAAAGCTATACAGTGCTGTAAATTTGCAAGCCTTAGTGAAATGGGGTGTTGATCCCCCCCCAAAAAACCCAGAATCTAAATTATGCAGCCAGAAACCTTAGCAGACCAGTAATTAGGGAAGAAGAGTTTTCACAAAAGCATCCCATCAAAAGCTCCAGAATCATTTAGATTTATTCACAGGTAAAATTTTCTAAACCTTTACGAAAAGATAATTTCCGAACAGTTCAAAAATAAAGAAAGAAGTGGCTTGGTTACTGTGTCCACTGAGATATAGTTATCTTAGTGCCCCATTCCTGATGAATTTAAATACGCTCTTCATTCAGTAATATAAATGTCAAGCCTTTAAAGGTGCACTAACAAGTAAAGACCGTTTCCTCATCAAAAGAATAATAACTCATAACCCATCAGGGTTGAGTGGCATGTGTGGTACGGGAATACTGTCTTGGAAGTCTTGTGTGTGTGACGTAAGAAAAGAGTAAGAGGCAGAATTTTAGAGCGTTTCGTCTGGGGGAATAGAATTGCGCTTAACGAAGTCTGTTGCTTAGCGACCACAGCAGTGCTGGCTCCCGACGTCCTGCGTGGGCATCACCTGGACCGCGCGCTAGACGCCGGATCCCGCCCTGCTCTCGTCCCAGCCTGGCAGGATGGCTGGAGGTAGTTCTGTTGCTCTGTGATTCATTCCTGTGCCTGCTAAAGAGGTTAACAGTTACTGGCCGCCGCCGCAAAACAGGTGCTGCTGTGAATCTGACTGTGCCTGTGCAGAATTGATGAGAGAGAAGGTGGTACAAAGCTGTGAGGACGTGTATCTCTTCACATCTCGAGTAAGGATGCCAGACCTCTCTGTTTCTTGAAGGAAAGTTTAGATGTCAGTCGTCACCAAGATAAATTGAGGTTTGTTGTCGCCTTAGCCAAGTCCCAGCGTAACAGAGCTCTCCTCGAGAATACCCGGTGAACGTAGATATTGCGGGTGGGGGCAGTGGGGTGACCCATTTTAGCACTGCCTTGTCCTGGCACAGAGGCCAGACATCAGAAGCACCCTCGGGGGGGTCTTCATTCGAGAGGCCACCCACGGGAAATGACAACCTGCGAGCTGGGCATCCTGCTGATGTTTTCACAGACTTGTGTGTGTCCGTTGTTCTCGTTACTGAATTTACACAATTAAATATTATGAAACAAAATAAGGGCATAAAATTTTCTATAAAAAGTTTTTATTAAACAAAAACATGAAAGGTGAGTTGCTTCTGAAAGGTTGACTGTCAAATTAGGATAAAATAGTAAAAAATGAAAGGAAAAAAATTCATTACAATCTTATGGTTTCGGTATTTGGATTGCAAGTATCATTAACATCTCACTTGCGATTATAAAAACAAAACTGGAAGGGCAGATAAAAGTATAAGAGGGTGATTATTGGGAGGGAATCTCCGGGAACCCCCTCAGTGGGCCTGCATCATATGACTAGTGAATGGCAGTACATTTTTATACATTAAGTTAAAACACACACACTGTGTAGATTCTTCCTTTGACAGTGACTGTGTGTACCTACCAGTACCCATCCAAGTTATACTGGCCAAAAGGGGTCTGTTCTAGTAATAAACACACCTATGATTTGAATGTGAAATGGAAATCACATGCCAGTAAAACAGAATAGACACCGTTACAGGTTACAGTGCAGCATGACAAGCGCAGAGCCGCAGGGTCTGGGGGGCTGCGCGTCGTGAGCTTTCCTCTAGGAACCCCCGTAGGTGTGGCGCCGCCCTCTTCCAGCTGCCCGTTTGGATGAGCTTCCTAATAGCTCTGAATTTCGGTTTTCTTATTAGTAAAATATGAAGTGCTCTAACTTCCCAGTTTCTGTGGGAAGGACCATTGTCCAGTACCTGGCCTAGTACTTAGGGATGGATTGACACTTGGTCCCTCCATTGTTTCTGGCGGCTTGTAACTGGCGAGGAATTTTGATAGAATACTAAATCCACGTTTCTTACCAAAATAATTGCAAGTCTGCAGAGAGGCAAAGCTGATGGGATAACTCATGGAGGTATGATAGTCCTGTAAACTTTGAAATAATGAAAGAACCAGAAGGCCGCTTTGACCACATGAAAGTTAAACTTCTATGGCGAGATTAAAGTCAAGGGTGTGTAGACTAGTGAAAGCATTTTAGCTAAGGTTACAGACAGTGATAGTCAGGTGTGTTATACATATCAGGTCTTTAACAGATAAGTTGATAAGTCACATAGAAGGTGGTTGTGAGGACAGGGAAACCGCAGCGCTGTCTGGCACCAGCACCTGCCTCACTCGGCAGAGGTGGAGGTAGCCCCCTGGCCCCTTTGCTGTTGGTCCCCTGAGAGAGCTCGTGGCCCGAGGGCTCCTCCCCTGGGCCTGAACTTCCGAAGGAGTCGCTCATAGGCACATTTGAGGAGCTGCTGCAGTAGCTTTTGGGGTAAAGGGGGTCATGCCCCCCTTTGACGGTTGGGGTTTTATCTCTACTGAAGCTGGTCATTCTCATAATGGAAAAGCTTTCTAGATCCCCCATCTCAGCAGATCTCCTGCCGTTCTGTGGTTCGTTTGGGTTGCATAAACCACCACTTAGTGGCATTAGCGCCACTGAGCTTTTTCCATCCTTTGTGGCTTTAGCTCGTTGATGCCACAGGTCTCAAGTTTTTCAGTTAAGTGGTACCAGACCACACGCACATGGTGCTGATGTGACGCCGCAGAGCGTGCTCACCTCACCTGCACAGCCCTTGCTTACCATTTCCTAATACGAGGTTATGATGGCGAGGCTTTGGGGCTCAGTCCACAGAAATTCCAAAACTGACGTTGGCCTTTGAAGTTCCGTGTAACGGCCGCTGCCAAGTCTCTGACATCATCTGGGGGTCTGACACCCCCAGGAAGCTCTGCGATCCCTCCTGGCTGAGCCTGTCGTATCTCGTCCTCCTACCTGTTCCAGCCTCACCGGCCGCAGAACCGCCTCTAGAGGAGAGCTGCCCTCCTGCTGCTCGGAATCCGCCTTGAGAGCCGCTCCCAGCAGCTGGAGGTGATGAAACTGGCTTTTCCTTGGTAATATGAGACAAAACTTGTTAAAAGTGTTAACACCATTCAGGGAGTTTGACACATGGTATCTCTGAGCTTTTTTGAACGTTTTTAAGTGAATAAGCTGCGTGGGGCCTTGCAGAGCTGAGTTGTCATTTTTGCTGACTGGCCTGGGGTGCCACGGGCCCTTGTTTAGGTAGAGCCTCACCTGGCCCTTCCAGGCCTCTCTCGACTGGTGGCAGTGGCAGCAACAGCAGCAGCTGAGGATACCCTCACCCATCTTGTCCTCGCTCTTCCTCACTTGTAACTGTAGGGAAAGCGTCCACAGAGGACACGGACAGGATTGCAGCCTGGGCGGAGGTCTGACCACCTGTCCGTCAAGTCCACTGAGCAATAGGTGAGTGTGTGAGAGGGAGCAGAGAGAAGGGTTTACATGTTCAGAAAAGATTGTCCCGTTTTATTTCGTGTACTCCTTCTATCCCAAGTTCTTTATTTACCTTGATTTCATTTTTAAAACCTCAAGCCTTTATGGAGTATTCTTTTACATAAGATGCATTT